GGCCCCTAGAGGCTCCCCAAATGCCCCCTCCTCCTCCTCTTCCTCCTCCTCCTCCTCCTCCTCCTCCTCCTCCAGCTCCTCCTCCTCTCCTCCTCCTCCTCCTCCTCCGCCTCCTCGCCTCCTCCTGATCTTCCCCGCCATCCTCCCCAAAGTGTTCCCCGAAGGGTTTCCACAACGACTGGGGGAACACATGGTCCGATAGCTTGGCAGAGCTCTTGCCACAACGCTCGGCCACATGGGCGATTCTAGAAGGCAGGCGGCGGCGGGGAGTCGCCGTATGCATCTTGAACATTTGTTTTCGATTCCCCTCGACTGATGTGCAGTCGATGTCTCCACCGTGCGCCACCCGTGCACACAAACCTGCTGTGCACTGTGCAAAGGCCGGTGCAAGGAAGCGCCACCTCGCCTTGGAAGATGGGCAGGAGAAAACCAAGTTCTGAAACGCGTCGTCCACAAGTCATCTGCTTGCAACCCTGGTAATGAGTACAACTCACCTAATCAACCTCCGCGCATTCTCAACATACGCTTGCAAACCGAGCGCCGCCTGCGCTGGACTGCCGACATCTCTGGGCAGCCTGCTGCGACTGCACAAAACAGACGGTGTGAGCCCAGCTGTTCGCGCACACCCGCTCACCTGAGCGACGATCAAAAACAGATCTTAATTACGCGAGATGACCCCACGGCGGTCCATTTGGACGCCCGAAACGGGCACGGAAAAAATGGGTACAATGCCCAACAACGAATGTTGTCCAAAACCGACAGCGGCCGCTGTTGGGCAGGCGGCTGTTTGTCGTCAAAGAACAACGTCCGCGGCGGCGCGGACAGCGAGCCCGGTTCAAAACGAACAGAATCTGTTGGGCATCGTACACCCATTCTTTCCGTACCCATTTCGACGGTCCCGAGTCCAGAGCGCGGGCGCACCGCCAGCCGGCACTGCCTGGCGCTAGCCGCCGGTAGGCCGCCGAGAGCGGCCTACAAGCGCTGCGGACAGGCGGCGGGCGGCGCCTCGCCCCCCTTGGGCCCTGGCCCGCGGCCGGCCCCGAGCGCCCGGCGGGCCTGCAGCACGGCCGCACCGAGCAGCTGGGCGCCGAGAGACACGCCGACAAAGGCCCCCGCCGCGGCCGGGAGGCCCGAGCCGAAGCGCATGCGGGCGGCGTGGATCGGGCCGAGGACGACGTTGGCGAGGCCCAGGGCCACGGCGGTGTAGCCGCTCCCCTTGTGCCACAGCTCCCAGGCTCGCCGCCAGGGCCCCGGGTGGTCCGGGTGGCCCACGGCCTTCAAGTGGCGCATCTGGGCGTTGAGGGGCTGCAGGCAGCCGAGGACGACGACCACCAGGCCTATGATCTCGTGCGGCAGCCTGAAGTGGGCCGCCTTCTTCCAGAGGATGATGAAGACGAAGCCAACGAGCTGGAGGAGCACGCCGACGGACATCAGCCAACGGTGGCCCTGGAACCACAAGGGCACACCCCCAGGCTTCCACTGGTTCTGCCTGAGATAGTGGGCCCAGATGACCCCTAGGGGCAACAGGCAACCCCACGAGAGGCACATGCAGACGACGTGACCGACGAGCAAGAAACGTGGCTTGAGCGAGAAATCCTGGTCCGCTGGGGTGTCGCAACTTCCAGCGCAATAGCCGTCGCATTCCGTGATGTTGGAGCATGCGGTGAAGACCGCACCTCTGAGGACGCCGTCCTCCTGGCTGTGATACCCCTGGACAGTGACCGTCAACGGCGCGTGGTCCTGGATGCTCCCTTTAGGGAAAGAGTCGATAAAACCCAGCGCGGCTTCCTGGGAGTGCTCGTCCAGCGTGAACTTGATGCGGTACTCCCCGCCCGCCGTCCGCTCCGCCAGGAAGTAGCCGTCGCGGCACTGCGGCACGTCTCGCAGGCAGTGCAGCGTGTGCTCCTCGGGCCCGATGATGACGTTGCTGCCGTCCAGCGAGACACCGCCGATATTGCACAAGCTGTAGCAATAGAAATCCACTAGGTACCCGGAGTAGGACGTCGGCGTCCCGCTGCCGGTGCCGAGCGCCGCGGGCAGAGCGTGTGCGAGCAAGGCGCGGACGCGGGCCATGGCCGCCGTGGACCGCCGGCGGGATGCTCTGGCCAGGCACCGAGTCGTGGTCGATCAGAGCGGGTGCCCCTCGTGGCAAATCTTGAGCCACAAGGCCTGAGAATTCCGCCGTTGCCCAAGATGGTCCCGGGAGCCTTCTCGGGCGACGCGTGGGCCGCCTCGGAGGCCCAGCGAGTTGGCCCAAGACACCCACATCTGTGGTCCCCGCGAATTTTTGTGTGATCTGTCCCTGGTCGCGCCTCGCAGAAAGAATTCTAAATTACACCGGAGAAAACCCAATCAGTGGATGGTCCGAAAGTTTTGTAAGCACAATGTTCGGCCGCAGTTTTGTAAGAGGGCCCTAGGAGGCTAACTCATTGATTGCTCTTGCGTGTTGGAAGGGTTGTGGCATCCTCGCTACTTGTGGCGTCCGTCGGCTCAACATGGCTTGGGGGGTCTCCAATACTTCCCCAAGACGGCGCACGAGGGGCCCAAGGTGACCCGGGCGGGCCTGCGGAGGTACCCTCGACGGCCTGAGAGGGCCCCTCGACGACTCAGAAGTCAAGAAGGCCACAACACGTCCCCACAACGGCCCGGAAAAACATCAGCATCGGCAAAAGAGAAAGAAAGAGAGAGAGAAGGGCGCCCACCGACAACCACCCACCGAAATCACCGAAATCGGCCGGCTACTTTCGCCATTCTTTTTAGGGGGCGCCCACCACAATCGGCTGGCTACTTTCGCCAATCTCTTCTTCGTCCGCTAGGACCCCGTCAGTGCAAACACTGATTGGGGAATCCAATGAACAGACAGGCCACAGAAGAGCCCCACGGGGAAAAAGGAAAGCCGTTTGAGTCTTTTGCCAAGCGTATCCAATACTAGTGCAACATACAAGGCATTCTTTGTACACCCGCCTCAGGCTCGCCTGACAACGGACAACCGCGCCAGGGTCGCCGAGAAGCAGTTGACTGCGCAACTTCCTTTGGTTCCCTTTCTGGTCTAGGACTGAATATGCCTAGTCTTTCGGGCACCCCTGGTCCAGTCCGTCTCCAGCGTTTCGGCGTGTGGTTGGCTATCCTCTTCAGGACCTGCCACAACCAACCACACGGGGCAGGCCGACGCTGTCACGAACGACTCCTCTGTTTCCGACTGTGCGAAAACACCACGCGAACCTCTAGAATGCAAAGATACACTGTGCCTGGCTGTATTCTGGGACTCCGTCGTACACACCAAAATTGCCAGAAGATGTCAAGCCAGGCTCTGAGAACCTGCTGTTTTGGCTTTCAAAGAAGGGAGGAAACTACTGTTTCGCCCTGAGCCTTCCTCACAATTCCTTCAGGAATCGTGCTCTCGCCTGAATTGTGCGCGTTCTTTTATTTGGCGTTTCGGAAAGGGGGGGGGTCTGGCTCGGGACCTCTGCTTAGTGCGGCTGTTTGGAACCGTGCGTCCTATGGGGGAGACTCTACCCGCTCGAAACAGTCGCCAAAAAACAGCCAAGATCTACTCCATGGGGGGGGGGAGGGGGCCCGCGCCGATCGGCAAAACAATGCATAAAGCAACGACGTCATTCCCCAGCTACATGCTTGGTCCAGACGGTCGCGATCCCCTGTGAAACGCACACCAAGTTGCACGTGGCTGCGCTCCCACCCTGCACGGCTTCCCCCGGGGCCGTTGGCGACCCCAGGAGGAGGAGGAGGAGGAGGAGGAGGAGGAGGAGGAGGAGGAGGAGGACGGGTCGCCTAAGCACTTCGGAGAAACCCTCCATCCCACCCCTGTCCCTTCTAGCCGACCTCCTGCTCCTCGACCCGCCTCTTCACCTCCGCTGCTGTCAGGGTGCTTTGCTGGGGTAATCGCATTCTCGCTTTTTCGCAAGGCGGCCAACGAGGCACCCAATGTCGCCCAAAGATGGATAACGCCCCCCCCCCAAGGGTGGCCCAATAGACCCCCAAGACGAGCCAGGACGGCCCCAAGAGGCGCTCAAAAGGGGAAAACGAACCTATATGTCGACTTCTTTTCCCTAATATACCCTCCGTGACAATCAGGAGGCCCCCCAGAGCCCAAGAGGCCCCCACGAGGCCTCAAAGAGGCCCCCGAAAGCTCAGAGAGGTCCCCAGGAGACCTCGAAAAAGGCTGTAAACATACCTACAAGAGGCTTCCCAGAGACCCCATCCACGGCACAGGCACGGTGGGGTCGAAGGCTTTTGGGTGTTCTCCTCCTTTTTCGGACCTCTGGGTGTCTCCTGGGGCCGGGGGGCCTCCTGGCAGCGGCGCCGTAGACGGTGATTTTCGACGGCTTCGTCGTCATCGTCGTCGTCGACGACGCCGTCGTCGACTCGACGCCGCCGTCGCCGACAATGGTTTTCAACATCTTCGGTAGCGCCGTTGTCGTCGGCGATGATCTCGAGACGTCAGCGACGGCGTCGTCGTCGGAGTCGACGTCAAAGGGCGGGAGGGTGCGATGACGACGTCACCGACCACCCCATGACGGTCCGTCTGTCTGTCCGTGGCGTTGGCCAACCAATCGAAGCATATGCCTGCCAACGTGGACTCCTCTTGTGGATTCTTGCATTGCTGATTGGTCACATCTGTGCTGCAGTATGTGTATTGTGCGACCTGGTGGAGCAAGCTAGATTGCGCAATCTGACTGCGGGTCCAGACCCCTCCGCCCCCCCGTTCCTTCCCTCCCCGCCTCCCTCCGCCCTCCGCCGCCCCCTGGGCTCCTTCTTCGAGGAGGCCCCCGCGGGGGGGAGGGCCCCCGATCTTTTCCTCTCCGGGGACTAGGCCAGGCGGTGGCCCCCTGTGATCCAGCCCTCAGTCCGTCCCCGCGCCCATCGAGCACGCACCTCGCGAAGCCGCGCGCCGCATCATCTCCGCCGCCCCCTTCCCCTCTCCGTTCGGGGGCGCCCCTTCCTTCTGATCCCCCCTCGCCGCCTCCCCTGGGGCGCCCCGCCTGTGCGGCCACCAGCTCCGCCCGCAGCGACCGCGCGGTGGCCTCCGCGGCGCCGGCGGCCGCCTCCGCGCCGGCCTTCGTGAGGACGCGCACCGCCGCTGTCGGTGGTCTCCGCCGCCGCCGCCGTGGTCGCCGTGGTCGAAGCCGCCGCTGGTCGTCGTGGCCGTCGTGGTCGTCGCCGCCGCCGTGGCCGTCGTGGTCGTGGTCGTGGTGGTCGCCGTCGTGGTCGCCGCCGCTGCTGTGGTCGCCTCGGTCGCCGCCGCTGTCGTGGTCGCTGCCGTCGTCGTGGTCGTCGTTGCGGTCGTCGTGGTGCCAAGATCGGAGAGTCGTCGCGCGAAATACGGACGGGCACCCACAATCAGGTCGGGCGTGTCCTCATACAGGCGGGTTTTGGAGGGAAAATGATACATAGCCATATGTATGTATGTATATAAAGTAGTCGTAAATCATCTCCATGCCATATTGTTACCATTTTTGAATTTCCCTCCTCTAGGGGGACATGCCCGACTTAAACCCACAGGTGACCGACAAGAGGAAAGGGATCTTACGCGAGAGGGCGTGGCGACCTTGGCGCGGTGGTCTGCGCGGGCCCCCACCACGGCCCGCCGCATGGGAGACGAGGCCGCTTGCACGCGACTTCGCGCGGGCAGCTTGCGCGCGAATGTCTGCCCAGTCGTGTCCGTCTTTTGTTGTTTGTTGTGATTGCCAAAAGAGTGGAGGCCGGTCCACGGGTGTCCTGCCGGGACGCGCGGTGACGACGCCATCTGGCGCAAGAACATCCGCGAGCGGGATGCTTTCCAGGAGGGGCTCCGACCGAAGGCCGCCGAATCCGAGCGGCAGGTCGTGGGACGCACAGAGACATACTAGTGCTATATGCCCTCCTCGGAGGCGCGCGTCCGACCCGATCATCTGGTAGAACCACCTTGTAGCACTTTGTTTCCCGAGCGGCACGGCCCGAAGTGCCCGCCACGATGCCTATAGTATAAGATTGTTCAGTGCGCGCGTCGCCCCTGGAGGGGCGACGCACACATAGTTTGAGTAGGGCTGGGGGGTCAGGTCAGCAGAACACCCCGAACGAACGTCAAGGGGCGCAACCAATCTGTTCGGTCAATCTGAAACTGATGTACCACACTCGGCGTCCAGCCGGAACCTTGGACATATGCGAATGGCTGGAGGTTGCACGCCTTCGTCGGCTTAACCGGCGAGGCGTGTGACCACCTCGACGTCCCTTTTCTGGTGGTCCTGCAGAGGAAGGCGCTCTCTGACCCTCAGCTCTGCTCCGTGCATAATATTTGCAGGTTGGGGTGCCGCCGAAGTCGCGCCGTCCTGAAGTCACAGGGGTGAGGGGGCGTGCCTCCCGCTGCGCGCGTCGCCCCTGGAGGGGCGACGCACACGTAGTTCGGGGATGGACAGACCCCCCTTTAGTAAAACGTGGTTTAGTGAAAACGACCTGAGGCCCAAACCTGGCGGGCGCAAGCCTGGAAAATAGCGGCCACGGCGCCCTCTCGAGAACCGAAAACGGACAATTCACTAATCGACGTCTCACTGTTGGGGGTTCTGTCCAGCCCCGAATGGTATCAGCAAATTGGGGTGCCGCAGAAGGCGGGTCGTCCGGAAGTCGCAGGGGGGGGGGGGGGAGGGGGGCGTGCCTCCCGCTCTCTCGCGGGGTGCCGCGCGATGCCCCGCGAGAGAGCACGCGTGGGGCGTGCCCTGCCCCGGGGGCCGCAGCTCTCCCCCCTTCCTCCTTCCTCGCTCCTCCTCCTTCCTCGCTCCTCCTCCTCCTCCTCCTCTTCCTCCTCCTCCTCCTCTTCCTCCCGCCTCCTCCCCTTCCTCCTCCTCCTCTTCCTCCTCTTCCTCCTCCTCCTCCTCTTCCTCCTCCTCCTCTCCCTCCTCCTCCTCTTCCTTCCTCCTCCCTCGCTCCTCCCTCGCTCCTCCTCCTCTTCCTCCTCCTCCTCCTCCTCTGTGGCCATTTTGGCTCAAGCCACTTTGGCTCAAGTTCCAAACCTTGCCCTGAGGCTTGGACCTTGTTCGCTGCCAAGGGGCAGGCTCGAGAGCCGCTCTTGGTCGACAGCTGACCGCCGCGCGCGGGCGGGGGATGGGACATCTTGTGTGCTTATCTTGCCGTGATGCTGGGGAAGTCTCTTGGATACCCGACACCACCCCCCGACAGAATTGTAAATGTTGTAAGACTCCCTTTCCTGGCCGTTCCAAAAGACAAGGAGGCAAACCGACGAAGGGAGGACATAACCGACAGACGGCACCCGCAGGCGGCAAAGCAGCAGGAAGACCGACCCGCCCCCTCTCACCATCGCCTGTTCCGCCCCCTGCTTCATCCAACCCATCCACTCCACCCTCCCGTACCTTGGACGAGCGTCTCGAGGTACCCTTGGATGATGAGGTTCAGGATCGGTTTGGAAATGATTGTGGTGAAGTCTTGGCGCTGACAGTGGCAATCGTGGTTTCTGGCCAGATTATCGTGACGATATCGATGATGACTACCATGATGACCGCAGCTTGGGCGCCGATGCGAATGGCACCCAGAAGCGTGCGCTATGTAAGCAGCGCCATCACTGGGCCAGTAAGAAGTATGATAAACTCACTGATCAGATCCGTGAGGTTGACGAGTCTATCACTTCCCTGCACGCAGATCGTGTCTCTCTTGTTACCAGGCAGCAGCAGACAGTACGTGACATGGCCTCTTGGGGGGACAATTTTCAGAGCCTTCCAGCACCTGTGGCAGTATCGCAAGACTCGGAAGACAGCCCTGCTATTTCATCACTCGTCGAGGTTTTCGCCACCTCCAAGGCCATCCGGGAAGATAGAAAAAATGCCACAGGCTTTGCACCACAACAAAGTCTTGTTTTGCCAGACACTTCTTCTGGTTCTGCGCTCTCCGGATCCTCGAAGCCCAACTCTGTTGAACCCGTTCGCACGCAGCCCATGGCAGTTGACTCCGCATGTGGACAGTCTACGGTGAGAGTTGGCCCTGGGCGCACATCCTGTCTGCCGCCGCCGCCGCCGAAGCGCCCCGCCACGCCAAATCCTGATGTCTCTGCTACAATCGAACTGGATGGACCCAGCACGGCTGACGCCGATATTGCCGCCGACGTCGGCTCCGCTGGTATTCCCCCGACGGACCCCACGACTTATACTAGTTATGTTTAGGAGAAAGGACGTGGCAAATCAGGACCATCTGATGGCATGGCGTCATATTCCTCCCCATTGCGGCATCAGCTTTAGTACGGAAGCCTCGCCCCGAGCGGGTCCTAGCTGCGGTCGATATCACCTCCTGGGCGACTGCCGAGCTGTTCCTGGATGCTTTGGGAGATGAAGTTGCTGCGGCTGGAGTTCAGGAACTATGCCGCTCTGCTCGGCCCGTTGAATTTGCAATCAGCCGTGCCCGCAAACGCCGATATCACGCCCACTTGCGCCCCTCAATTTTCACTGCGAAACGGTGGTCTGGGCTCGGGTGTGGGACTAGCATCTCACTACGCCAGATCGTTCTCGGGTATGCTCTTTGACACCTCGGTGGTCATGCCCCCTCCTGAACGATTTATTATCAAGGTATGACATGGGGTGAATGATGTGGGGATCCCGTGGGCCAACTTGTACCTACACACAGGCGGCTCTGCGGAGGATAGGAACCCCCAACTCCTATTGCAGGTTGCACCTGATCTGAGGACCATTGGCACGCCCTTCGTGATCTTCGCGGGTTGGACTATGTCTCCCAGCGAAATGCAAGCCCCAGGATTCTCATCGCTCTTAGATGGGGTCACTGTGGCGCCAGAACCTCACAGCTACGAGTCCGCTGGTGCCCAGTCGTTGATCGACTATTTCGTTGTGCATCCAGCTTTAGCAGCAGCGGCCTCGTGCCAAGTATGGGAGACTCCCCTGGCCCCCAAGGGCCACCCTTTTGCTTTGACTCCACGTGGGGATGTGCAGTCTGCAATGGTCTCTGTGCTTCTTCGTCCTCCGCTAGGACCTGTCCAGATGCCCGTTGGACGTGCTCCCTGCCCCCCGTCTTGGAATGATGTCCCTGGCCCTGACCAAGTGGCTACAATGCCTGAGCTTGGGCGCCTTGCTTCTGATTGGCTAGAAACGTCTGCCAAGGAGTTGACTGGGCTCTAGCAGCCACCCGACCCGCAGGTCTATGATAAGCCGGGGTGCAGCCCCTACCTCGATTCAGACATACGTCCCCCGTCTTTTCCCTGGTGGAGCTGCTGCCTCTCATGAAGACGGGCGTTGGGGGTATCTCTCGAATCGCCTCGGCGCCCTCTTGCATCTGGCAGGGAAACAATCGTGGCGAGCCTTCACTCTCGCAGATAAGCGGTTTGTGCAAACATCGCCCCTGATCGCGTGCAGGTGGTCCCCCTCCTGATTGGCCACGGTGGCGTTTCTATGCTTATCGTCTCGGTTCCCTGGACCATTGCTCTACGCATAGGCTTCGGCATACTCTGGCTGGGATGGCATCAGCCTTGGGACGCGTGGCTTCTGCTAAGCGCTGTCAGTCCTGGACTTCCCGGGCCATGCAGTCTGTGCAGCGTGGGGGATCTGCCGCGCGCAAGTTTGTGAAGGGTTCGGTCGATTGGGCGGCTGACCAGACCGCATCTACGCTGACCCCTGATGTCCCCAGTTGTACTCCTAAACACCACTTGACAGCACGTGAAGAGTTTGGGCATGGTCTATGGGAACCTATAGCAGGCGCCCCTGCTGATCCTTGCCACGATCTGCCTGCGCCTACTGTGCGCCCCGCAGACATTGCAACATTGCAGCAAACATCTCTGGCGCGATATAGGCAGATGCGTCGGAAGTCCAGAGCGCGTGGGTTGTTGGATTGGATTGGGCGGCATGCATCCCCACCACCATGCCCAACTCTCAGATCCTTCTCGACTCGCCCTGTCTAGCAGATGGAGGGCTGTCCTGCGGTTAGGGAGATGCCCCCCCCCCCCGTCTTGGCGGCATTCGTGATGAGTGTATTACCGAAGCCTGATGGCGGTGACCGCGCGGTAGAACTTTTCACTGCATGTGCGCGTACTTTCGCTCGGTTCTTCCGTCGCGCGCACGGCGCGCGCTGG